AGGATAGGCAACATCAGTTCCAAAAAAGCCTTCCACTCCCCCACTGAGCAGAATGGAAACATAAAAACTGCTGATTCAATACCTTCATTCAGTAAGGAATAGTTAGAACAATTGTATAAATTTTTTTCGGTCCAAATAATTCTCTGATCTTGTACCTTTCTCTTGTTCCTTATCCCAAAATCGTAACCATCTTCAATATATTGTCTTTAATGTGTCAACTATTCCCATTTGTTCTTGGATAATAGATTCAGGTACCACAGATCATATGACATATTGTTCTAAATAATTTTCTTTTTATAGTTTTTGTGTAGACAATCAAAAAATTAAGATCGTCGATACCTCACTTTCAGCAATTGCTTGGAAAGAGTCAATTGTCATCTTTAATACTCTTGTTCTTCATGATATCCTTCACGTTCAAAATTTTTCTTGTAATATTTTGTCTGTTAGTAAAATAACTCGGAACTTAAGGTGTTGTGCTAAATGCCTTTCAAACTTTTATAAATTTCAAGATCTGGATACAGGGATGATGATTGGCAATACTACGGAACATGTAGGTCTCTATTACTTTGATGACGGGAATTCTTTATGTCAGCAACCGAAATCCTCAAGTTTTGGACCATGCTTTAATTCTAGTAGTAATGAAATAATGGTATGACACCATAAGTTAGGTCACCCTAACTTTCAATATTTAAAATATTTGTTCCCAAACTTATTTTATAATAAAGATTTATCATCATTTCAATGTGATATCTGTCAATTAGCTTAACACCATCGTGCATCTTTTCCTACTCAACCATATAAACCATCTATGCATTTTTCTCTTATTTGTAGTTAAGTGTGGAGATCTTCCAGGACATTAACCAATTTCGAAAAAAAATAGTTTATAACATTTATTGATGATCATACACATCCAAATTGAGTTTATTTACTTAAAGAAAAATTTGAAGTAAAACATGTTTTCAAAAATTTTTACAGTATAGCTGAAACCCAATTTCAAACCAAAATTCGAGTGATTCGGAGTGACTATAGAAAGAAATTTTTTAATAAAATTTTAAGTTATTAAAAAAAAAAATTGTTCATCATATCTCTTGCAACGACACTTATCAACAAAATGAGATACCAGAAAGAAAAAATAAGTACATTTTAGAAGTACTTAGGTCTTTAATGTTTACCATTAATGTACCTAAATACTTATTGAGGAAGCAATTCTTATTGCCACATATCTGATCAATAAGATGTCGTCAATAGTTTTAAAGTTTCAGACACCTCTAACAGAACGGCCTAGATTTAAACGCACGGACGGCCTAGATTTAATCAAAAACGGACGACTCAGATTAAAACAAAATGGACGGCTGAGATCAAAAGGCAAAGGGTTATAAATAGAACCCCCACACCAGACCACAAACCCTAGCCGCCTGCCGCTCGCCGAAGAAGACGAACCAGAAGCCGGCCGCCGCCACCCGCCGCCGCACCGGAGGAATTTTCGACCGCCGATCGAGGTAAATTTCGTACTCCCGACTCGTTTTTCCACGCTGATTCCTCCTGTGGCCAAATCGGAGCCAAAATCCCGGCCAAACGGCCGGAATACACGGCCGAAGCCCAGCGGCACCGCGGCGCCCCTTCTCGGTTTTTGCCTCCGATGAGGCCCTTCCCGGCCTCCGTTTGATGCAATTTTTATATCACCGTGATCACCATTCTTTTCTCTACAGGTTGACCGGAGTCGAATCACCAAAACACGAACCTCGCCGGAGAGCCGCCGCACCCGAGAGCGCCGCCGCCGGTAAGCTCCGTTTTTCCGTGATTTTTTGGCCCCCCGAGGGCCCTAGGGTTGTTTTCTCGCAGGGACCGATGCGAGTGTGGCCGAATTCGGCCAGAAACGGCCGAAAACAGCCAACCTGAGGCGAATCGCCGCCGCCAGCGGCGGCGCCGTCGCCGGAGCACGGCGGAGCCGCCGTGCCGGAGTTGCAATTTGGGCCGAAAGGGGCCCTGGGCCTAATTTGGGATTTTTTTGGAACACGTGCAGGTACCAGTAGTGCGTTTCAGTTCCCCGAGGAAAATTCAGGGAAAATTAGGGACAGCCTGCAAGCGCACTGTGAAGCCGTGTTCGGACCCCGAAACGAGTAAGGACCCCTCACCTTATTTCCTATCACGGTTTTAAAGTTCAATAAATGATAAAACGGTATTTCATGAATCAACGAATGTGTGAAATTGCTTAAGGTCGCTAATGGAGCCCAAGTCTAGTGTATTTGTCGGTTAACTGTTATTTGGCCTGTTTTACAGTTTTAAATGTAGCATGAGGTTCGATGTTTTCATTTTATAGTTTCGTGTGCATGTTTTACTGTTTTATTGATTATGGATTAAATGACCGGGATATTGATGCTGTATGTTGTCTGTTTAGCATAAATTACTGTTTGCTTGCTTGTATGTGGATTAATGATGCTGACTGAGGAAAAAGAGAATGAAAAATTATGTAAATGGATAATGGTATAATGTGGTCAGCCTGACTAGATATCCTGGGAGATGGTGGACGGACCGGGTCCGTAGGGAATCCTACCGGGATTGTGGTCTCTCATACCGGACGGGGTATGGAGATCTTATGTGTTTTGGCGCCCATACCGGACGGGGTATGGGGACGGCCCGTTTCACCCTCATACCGGACGGGGTAATGAGGTCTAATTTTTGGCGCCCATTCCGGACGGGGTATGGGGACGGCCCGTTTCACCCTCATACCGGGCGGGGTAATGAGGTCTATGGTTTGGTGCCCATACCGGACGGGGTATGGGGACGGCCCTGGAATTTGATTTCAAATGTTAAGGATTAACGGGTAGCGGGACCCCTATGGATCCCCATGGATACTAGTGGGCTGGTGAATTAGGAAAATATGTTGTGTAACGATTGAATTACGAAAAGTGTGATAGGTATTATGTTATACAGTTCATATATATGTTTCCATGATGATGATGATGTTATTGCTTTCGTATATTGTTTTATGAATTTCACCGAGGTAAGAAAATGGTAAAGGTTTTATTATCGATAAAAAGGATTTGTTGTAAATTATGCTCCATTGGTCTTTTTGTGTTTTCTACCCACCTTTACCTCCGTGACGGTGAGATATCGTGATGTCTTTACTGGGCTAGTGTAGCTCATTCCTTATTTAATCATTTCAGATCAAGAGGACATCGTTCCCGAGCCGATTCCGCAGGAGGACGACGAAGGGGACGCCTAAAGACTCCATAGTCACATTCGTAGTTTTTACTTTCAAGTTTCTCCTTTAGGTAGTTTAATCTTTTATATTTTGTGAGCACGTTTTG